TCCCTTCCCAGTGTCTAAATCCATTTAATCTCCAGCTCCCTGATGGCAGAAGCTACATGTAGACAGGAAGCGCCATTGATCTTAACTCACATTGATTTTAACTGTTTGGTTTCTTTTCCCTCCAGTGAAGCCTAAGCCCCTTCCAGTGCTTACAAGGAAGGGTTTCGAGTCAGCATCGCCTTGTAAACACCTGGGTTAGCGGTGAATGGGGTGGGTCCCAGCCATATATTTGCTATATATTTGCCAGGTAACATATGAGATGCCCAGCTCATTTTAATTAAAAAAAGACGTCTGTTCTATTACTAAATCAGGCAGCTCTACCTAGGGGGGTGGTATTGTCCCGCTGAGCAGACGGTGAGTTTATAGAGGAGGCACTTTACCCTCGTCTGTATTTAGTGAATCCCCTCCAACGGTAGGGAAGTGGACGCTCACTAGTTCATGAAAGCAGTCCTGGCCCATCTCATGCTAAATTTATGCAGGTAATGTGACTTTTTTTTAAGAGCAGGCGGAAAGGCAAAAGACTCGCTTCCATTTCCTTTCATTTCCCAGTTAGGCCAGCAATACAGACGGCCAGGGTCACGTGGCTCAGCTGGTTTCTTTATTTGCATCCACCCCCTTGCTGAGGGACACGGCATGTGGATATCTCGGCAGTGAAAGATGGCGGTACGATCAAGGTGAACAGTTCTGGACCGAATGCCTGTTTTCACCGGGCATAGAAACATGACGGCAGCTTATCCCGCGCCCCTGCACCCTGCCCAGGCTCTTTGCTCTCTGTCACATTGCAGACACAAAAACCTATGCCGTTCCTTTGTTGACAATGGACAATGGCTTCCCCTCCCTCACACTGCTCTGGCTGCCTTTTACCTCCGCCCCTGCCACTCTCCTCCGGGCTGTGCCCCAAAGATGAACAGCAGACTCCGGCCGCAGGGCCTTTGCACTTCTGTTTCCTGTGCGTGTACCAGGCTTCCCCACAGACAAATGCCAGGCCTGCCCGCCCCCTTCTCCTTATTCAAGGCTTACCTTAAAGATCTACTTATCAGCAAGGCCTTTCCCTGGGCACCCATCTAAGAGTCCCCTGCCCTCCGTACCCCCCAGAGATGACGCTCCCTCAGCCTGTTCTATTTTTCTCTCTGACGGGTCACTATCTGATATAATATATAAATGAGCCTATTGCCTGTCAATGCTCCCCACTGGAATGGCAGCTCCAGGAGGTCCGGCAGGGCGTTTGCCTGGACCCGTGCCCTCCCCAGAGTAGCTATGGAATAAATATTTGCCGAATGAATTATTGTGAGTGTCCTCAGGTATTCTAGGAGGGTGCACACATTGGCTGCTGTCCCAACGTTTGGAAGTTCAGATCCACTGAGGTGCCTCAGAAGCAAGGCCTGGCCAGCTGCTGCTCCAAACTCAACCGTGAACATCCATTTCTGCTCCGACACAGACCGGCTCCACAGTCACGGTGTCTCCAGGAGATGAAAGTCCCGTTTCCTGGTGTAAGGGTTTCCTTGATCTTCTGTGCAAAACTGAGCAAAGGCACAGGCCCTGGGCTCGCCCCTACTTAGAACCCCAGGAAAGCCCCTCCTGCGTCCACACCTGAAGCAGGTGACCTCTGAGGGCCTTCCCGATTCCGAACTCACACGAGGCGGTCACACCGTGTTTGTAATCCAAGGTTTGAGTCCCCTGCCTCGTTTGGCTGAAGTTGATGTGGCACACTCCCTCCCAGCCCCAGGGCAGGGTGTGCCTGAGGCACAACGCAGGAAGGGGTGTTCTCACACTGACCTGTCAGGAGACCAGATACCAGACCCATGGCCACGGCTAAGCTGAGGACCCCCGTGTAGATGAGCAGCTGGTAGGTGAGCCTAGAGATGAGAGAGAGAGAGAGAGAGAGAGAGAGCAGAGGTAGTCACACTCGGGCACCAGCCTGAGCAGGTCAGGTGGGACGCGAAGGACTGCGTGGACAGGCATCCGTAGTGACAAGGTCGGGAAGGGCCACCAGGAGAATAAGCCTCCCCTCCCCTCCCCGGCTGGCTCGTCGCCCTGTCATTTCCCCAAAATTCCTGCAGCTATGTGGGAGGGAAAGGGAAGGGAGGGGTGCCCTAGGGTCTTCTTTGACTTATTCGATCCTCAGACCAGGGTCACTGAAGGAGACCACTAGTCGGAAAACCCGAGTTCAAGTCCCAGCTCCGTCACTTCCTAGCTGCCACCCAGAGCCCCCAGTTTTCTCCTTCGGAAAGGAAAGATGGCAGCTTTATTTCTATCCAGGCAAATCTAGGCTCGCAGATCCATTCCCCACCCCCCCCCAATCCCAGCCCCTGAACATAACTCTAATCCCTCTTACCTTCAAACCTACCCCAGGGATTTATTGGGGTGTGGGGTATGGCTCTGTTAGGGTCCGCAGTGCAAGTGGGCACTGCCAGCCCTTCATTCTAGCCCATGGAAAAGAACAAGTGAGTTTGGTAGACTTCCCAAGTTTTCTCAGCCCTAACATCTCAGGCCACATAGGCCACACAGCAGTCTTACTGAGTGGGCTGCTTATGTAGTTCATAGACAGGAAAGCCAGGGTTAGGGAAGTGACCAAGTGTTTCAAGGTCATGTGCCTGGAATGGGTGACTCAGGGGACTTAAGTCTGTCTAACTACAAAGTCCCAGCAGATGTTACACAGATGTTAGCAATTCAAGTCCATAACAGAATTCCAGGGAGACCTCCTTGCCCCCAACCTTAATATTTTTCTTTAAACAGACCTTTAAAAATATAAATAAATATATTTAAAAGGAAATCGCACAAATGGAAGCAACTGTAACGTTAGATACAATGGAAACAAAGCCCAAACCAAACGCCTGGACCACGTGCAGCGATCACGAGGCCCCATAGAATGGGATGGAACTGGCCCTGTGGGTTTCTGGGAATAGAAAGTCTCATCTTTCTCCCGTGGATCGGCTGTTGGTTTTGAACTGCTGACCTTGCAGATCACAGCCCAACACATAACCACTATGCCTCCAGGACTCCTCATTGAAAACAAGGCTTTCCTAAATACCTCCTGGCTGCGGCAAAGGCATCCTCTGCTACGGTCTCAAGCAGAGGTGGGGCATCT